CACCGCTCTGAAGGAGTCTGTTGAGAGAAGCCAGGCCGAGCTCATCGACACAATCAAAGAGAAGCAGAGAAAGACAGAGAAACAGGCTGAAGACTTCATCAAAGAGCTGGAACAGGAAATCTCTGAGCTGAAGAAGAGAAGCTCTGAGGTGGACCAGCTCTCACAGTCTGAAGACCACCTCCACCTCCTCCAAAGCTTCCTGTCCCTGAACGCTGCTCCACCCACCAAGGACTGGACAGAATTCAGCATCCGTCCACCTTCATATGAGGGGACTGTGGTGAGAGCTGTGAATCAGCTGGAGGAGACGCTCAGTAAACAGATGAAGAAGGTCGAGCTGAAGAGGGTCCAGCAGTATGCAGTGGATGTGACACTCGATCCTGATACAGCATATCCCAAACTCACCCTGTCTGAGGATGGAAAACAAGTTACATATGGTGATGTAAAGAAGACTCTTCCAGACAATCCAGAGAGATTTAATCGTTTTACTAATGTCTTAGCAAAGCAGAGTTTCTCTTCAGGAAGATTTTATTACGAGGTTCAGGTTAAAGGGAAGATTGAATGGGAATTAGGAGTGGCCAGAGAGTCGATCAACAGGAAGGGACAAATCACACTGAGACCTCAGAATGGTTACTGGACGATATGGTTGAAGAATAAAACTGAGTATGAAGCTCTTGCTGGCCCTCCAGTCCGTCTCTCTCTGAAGTCTCAGCCTGAGAAGGTGGGGGTGTTTGTAGATTATGAGGAGGGTCTGGTCTCCTTTTATGACGTTGATGCTGCAGCTCTTATCTATTCCTTTACTGGCTGCTCCTTCACTGAGAAACTCTACCCATACTTTAGTCCAGATAATAATAATAAAGGTAACAACTCTGCCCCTCTGATCATCTCTCCTGTCAATCACACTGAGTAGAACAACCATTTGATTTTCTACAGAAAGATTCACATCATTTAATGTAATAAATGTACATTTATTGGTGACGTACAATGTTTAGATTGAGTTTTTTTTCCAGATTCTGATCAATATGGGTTATTTTTACTTACTTTTTTTCTTTGATGTGTCACATTACTACTTATTACTACAACACACCAGTTTGACCACACTGATTGATATTATCTAATGCAGTCTAATTCATTCTAATAACTGCATTACCTGCCTTCAAGACTGTTAAATCATTAGAAAACCTTGTGCTTATAAATAAACATTTTCATGTTCTTTAAATGTCTGGGTGCCAAATTCAAACCTTTTTATTGTCTGATCTTTGGATATATAAGAACTGTTGCATACTGGCACAAATTACTGAACAAAAGCTAAATAAAGTTTTGATTGTATTTGATACATTTATTTTGTTTTTGATTGATATCAAAGCTGAAAAACAGCTGATGGTGTTTCTAATGAGCACCAAATCATGTGATTAAAAACAGCATCAGCTGATGAGCTCCAATAGCCCATCACCTCTGAGATAGTTGGTAGTGTAAGATAATGTAGTGTTATTGAAGGTTTGTGTTGGAGCAGCTGATATGAACACTAAACCAGTGCTACTAGTTTGTAGAGAATAAGTGACATCTGAGGACGCCCTCTAGTGGAGTTCATAACAAACTGCAGCCTGTGGCCTCATGAGGACATGCTCTTAATAAATAACTACAGTCTGATGCTGAAGCACATTATATTAATGCAGAATAATGAGATCTACGTCTGATTGGTACAAAGTCAAAAGTCTAAATCTACTGTTAATCTTAATGTACTCTACGATTGTGGTCCAATCACAATGATGATTCTCCATCTCAGTTTAAAACTCTTGGTAGCAATATATTAAGGTACACATCTCGCCATTAACTAGTTGTTTATAATATCATATACAATATAATATAAATGGTGTTTTAAGGGGACCTATGGACGTATATTCTCCTTAATTTATGTCTTATATACATCGACGCAGCCCCTTACCACCTTACCAACAGAACTGCTCTGCAGTGTGTGTTCTGACCCCTTTCTGTCAGAACCAGCATTAACTGTTCCAGCAGTTTGAGCTACAGTAGCTCGTCTGTTGGATCGGACCACACAGTGCTCCTTAAATGTTGACATTATTTCTCAGTTATAGAGAGTTCTAGTATCCCCTGCAATACCTGGTCTTAGAAGAAGTTCAAGTGTTTAAGTTCACACACAGGCCTGAACTGAAAGTCTCCAGAATGAGACTGTTTGTAAATCTCTCAAAACATTAAAAACTTGCAACAAAAGCAAATATTTGTTTTCAAATGAATATATTCTTCCAATCAATTATTATACAATGGACAACATAATACAAAATACACTATCAATATGAACCATGCTATGTGCCTGTGCCATTTCTTGATACTTTACATAGTTACAGTTTGTGCCATGTTACAGCTGCAGACCCCATGTGTTAACCTTTCTCACAGTGTTCTGTGTATGTGAATAGGATGTGTGCTTCCTGGTGCCTTATTGGCTGCAGCTGGAGAGGCGGGTTGATGGTAAAACTGTGAAACTGAATGGAATAAATATAAAGTAAACATGTTTGAAGGACACATCTTGTATTAAATGGTGTTTTCTGTATTTAACTTGATGAATTAAAGTACTCAGAGATAAGGGAGTCTGTTGCTGGAACATTCCTCGAGAGGCCCAGGTTTAAGGCACATGTTGGTTTACGTCATAACAGGTGCAGGTAGCAATTTCCCCCTGGGATTATTAAAGTATGTCTGATTCTGAAAACATGGACACCAGTAGACCTGAATGCTCAAATGAATTAATTGGAATAAGTAGTGAAAAATTGTTTAGTAGTTCTACTAAATTAAACACGTTGAATACCAATACCATTTTATTTGTTTTATATATATAAACTTTAAAAAATGTTATGCTGATTATGTAACCACTACTTAAAATATACGTGTTATTTTGATAGAATAAATCTATAGCATGTGTAAATAAAGTACTGTTAGTAGACTTATATATATAGTTGCGTATTTATTGTTTGCATTTCCTGTCCTGATCAACACCACTGGATTATTGGTAAGTATTCAACTGTATAGTATAGTATAGCTGTGCAACACAGCTAGGATTGCAAGCTAAGAAGCCAAGTCCGGAGTTGAGCTAATATGTGCATGTATAAACCGAAAATGGTGTTATTAATGACACAGTTTTCATAACATGAATTAAAGTGCGAGATCAATAATCCATGTACAGACATGATGCCAATAAGAGTGAGAACATTGTTAGGCATGACACCCTGATATCCAACCCTAATAAGGTTTTCTTTTATAAAGGGTGGTAGGTGGGGGCAACCAACGTAATTTTGGGGGGACGACAAAGGGGACATGTCCCCTGCACTTTTCAAAAGGCTGTTTTGGTCCCCTGCTGTTTTTACTGTCCAAAAACAATGTTACGCTCTAGTAAACAGAGACACATCAAGTACTAGGACCAAGCGCAAAATGGCCGCTCAAACTGAAGCCTGTTTCCCTTAGTTTAGACCCGCCCACAAGCTCCTCGATTGGCTCTGCCGTTTCTTGTGTGATTGGCTGTCCCCGCTGTCACTTCATCTTGCTTGCACACCGGTCTGCTAGTTGCCCAGGAGTCCTTATTAATCTGCCACTGTAAATTGGGCGTTTGTTCTGCCTGGGTCCCGTCAGCTAGAAGGATTGTAATATCAGAGGTTTCATTTACATTAACGTTTGAATCGGTGTCCATGTACGTATGTGCGTGCATGCGTGCGTGCGTGTGTGTATGTGTGTATGTGTGTTTGGTAATTAGGCGCAGCCAGGATGTCTAAAAAAAGAAAAGTGGACATAAAAGACTTCTTTAGAAATCAAAGTGTCAGTAACTCAAAGAAATGCATTACACCCATCCTGCAACACCTTCACTGGCTCCCAATAAAGCAGCATATCCACTTCAAGATCCTCCTCATCAATTACAAGCTCTCAATAATCCTGTAAAGTGTCTTTGAGTTTTATTGAAAGTGCTGATAAATATAATGTATTATTATTGTTATTATAATTATTATTATTAATATTATAACTGTAGAGCCTCAACAATGCAAAGACTTTTAAAAAGCTTATATTTAATGCCAAAGAGACACTTATTTTCATGTATTATTTTTATGTTGAAAGGCAGCAACTGTTTAAAAAAACACCAACAATGAAAGATTTAGGGAAAAATATAATAAAAAATTGGATTAAAAATGTGATTTTATACATTCAAACTCATGATAATTGTGAAACTAAGTTTTTTCCTATATATTCCAAAAATAAGTGTAAAATTGGTGGTACTGAGTTGGAGTGAAGTTGACTAACAAGGTGAAACACAGAATTGGGTGATAATGTTTTGCTACATGCTTTACAACCAGTCAAACCAAAAAAGGGAACAGTAAAGTTCAAAGTAGCAATAGAAAACTAGAAGAACTACTAGAAAACAGAGTGAACTGAAAGAGATAGAGTTTTATTAAAAATACTTGTGTCCCCCCCACCTCTGAAATCAAAATTCCGTCCTTGGGTTGGGGCTATGCCAACAGGAGGAGCTCCATTTTGTATAAAAGCAGCTTTTTCAGGAGAAAATCAGTCAGGTGGGGCTCCCTGGCAGCTCACCTGGTAGAGATGGAGCTCCACATACCAATACTGAGTTCTTGCTGCAGCGGCCCTGTGTCAGACTCCACTCTGTGGCCGTTTGCTGTGCGTCACCCCCCCATTCAAATATTTTCATTTGTATGTTTTTTCAAAAAGACATTGATATATGTGATTCTTTGCAATTAAGTCAACATTTTATCATGACACCCCTTAAAGTCTCCATGCCTCTGGACGCCCCATCAATATTTCTCTGGATCTGCCCCTTCCAGTAAACACAACGTGGTCTTACAAGATTTTAGTTCATGCTGTGCCAAAAGTAGGTCGCTTATCAAGTCAAACCTGAAAGGAAACAAAGTCTCACCTGAAGAGCACAAAGAGGAGGAGCAAAACTGGAAAAGAACAAGTTCAATGCCACATTCTTCTCCATCCAACTGAGAGAAGTTGAGTCTCTCTGTTTGTCTCGGAAGAAAAAGTTTATTTACTCTTTGCTCAACAACACAGCAGAGTCTCTGCCAGACACTGGTGAGTACATCTGATAATATCAACACTAAATATTAACACTAAACTCAGACTGGATGTTCCATTGTTTTAATTTATCACCTGTTTTCGAAAATTGGGGAAGAAAACTCCCCACTGAGAACTGAAGCTCCACCAGGTACACAAAAATCATGCTACTATGATATAAAACATCAAGGAAATGTTAATTGCAACATTATTTCATCAGCTGTATAACCAAAAGTGTTATATCTTTGTATTAAATCCATAAATATACAACAAAATACAATTTTAAACTTCCCAAATTATAATTTCTGTTGATCCTGTAAGTTGTCTTAACAGCATTTATAACACAAATAACTGTAGGACTGTGTATCAGGTAGAATCTGGTGATATGATATGAATCGTGATACAGAGATTATGATTCAATATATTCTGATAATGTAAGCAAGGCGATATATTACGATTTGTTTTTATTTAAACCTAATTCTAGGAAAACTTTCTTATTATAAAGAACAAATCATCGTATGTGAGATCTGCATTTGGACTTATCTCAGTCCCAACACTGCTGTCTAAAAAAATGAAAAAAAAAAATGTATACAATATCACAAGACAAAATATCGTGATAGGATATTTTTTGCATAATTTCTTACACCCCTACAAAGAACACACATTAGGTGAACCATAGAAACTTTTTGTTGACATAAAGGTGTTTTATTAGTCCTTATGAGCATATATTTAATTAATAGAACAGAAAAAAAATGTTCTTCACGGAGGTGACTTTTCTATGATGAACTTCTCTTTAAATTTAGTGATCAAGCAAAACATATAATCACAGTCACTTTTTTTCCACATTGCTCAATATCAAACTATAGTAAGGGTGTCACAATTATAATAGAACGAGCTTTCATTTCAGATTATTGAAATCAAAAGCAGGATGAAGAATTCTCCTAATACCCCAGTTTTTGTTCTTATGTTTAACAGTTTGTTCCCAATTGTATGTTAATGTTCTTTAAATTAGGTATCAATCAATTATCTGCATGACAGATTGTCAGATTCGATATTAAGCACTTTTACAATGATGAGAATTTTTATTCAGACAGCTGATAAAATTATTGAATTTAAAAAAACAAATAAAATACAAATAAATGTCCTGTATTCAAAATCTTATTTGAGTAGAAATATAAAAGTACTGGCATCAAAATGTATTCAAAGGACTAAAAGTAAAAGTGAAAAATGGCCCATTTCAGAATAATGTATATTACATGACTGTATTATAATTATTGATGTGTCATAACTTTAATGTTAAATAAAGGTGGAGCTCATTTTATTGATTTTATACTAATTTGTATAAATACGTCATAATGGGAATCTGCAAAGTAACTAAATTTATCAAATGTATTGTATATAAAGCATATAAGGTAGCATAAAATGGAAATACTCAAGTACAAGTACCCTAACATTGTAGATACAGTGCTTGAGTAAATGTACCTCTTCCAAACATTGTTTATCATTTCCTCCATGGGTTATAATTGGTATCTTTATCGGCCCAGAAAAAACAATGGCATCATGTCAATCAACTCTGGAAATCAAATCAAATAAATCGAATCTTGACTTTAAAAAAAGGTAGCCATTTTGTTTTACAAAGTTGCAAAGACTTTTCTTTTTTTAACCAAAATACAGAATTTAAACCAGAATTTTTATTTATTTAATATTTAGTTTAGTTTTTACTGAATTGATCAAAAAGTAAAGTAGTAGTAATAAAAGTAGAAGGCTTACCAGTCCTTTGAAATCAGGATGGTAGACATGGGTCATTAGGCTTAAGCTTTGTATGCCTGTACCCATTTGCTAACTTTTTCAACATTTTCATGAAAATATTTCTATTTCTATATATATTTTTTGTAATAATTATATTATACCTACGTTATCAGCTATTAAGACATTTTTAAATTTTTGAAAGTAATTTATTCTTGTCTGGGACAAGGGTGTTATCGGTCACGGGGTAACATTAGAATTTAACAAAATAAAATCAGCGCCAATGTTTTATAAATTATATCTTTATATTTTCACTAAAAGAAAAATGGAATGAATGTGTTCAGAAGTAAAAATGTTATTGTGTTATGGCCAAATTCTCACGTAACCTAGCTTTATATTTAATAAATTTTATAAATTATCATGATTTTATTAAACAAATAATCAAAAGAAATGTGATTACAGTTTTGTTTTCTTTTTAACCTCACAGTGTAGATATGGCTGCTGCCAGCTGTCTGCTGACTGAAGATCAGTTTCTGTGCTCCATCTGTCTGGATGTGTTCACTGATCCAGTCACCATACCATGTGGACACAACTTCTGTAAAACCTGCATCACTGAACACTGGAATAGTAATGTCCAGTGTCAGTGTCCCAACTGTAAAGAGGTTTTTAACACAAGACCTGAGCTGAAGGTCAATACTTTCATCTCTGAGATGGCTGCTCAGTTCAGACAGTCAGCTCAACAGAAAGCCAGCAGCAGCAGCTCAGAGCAACAAGTTTCCAAACCAGGAGAAGTTCCCTGTGACGTCTGCACTGGAACTAAACTGAAGGCCCTGAAGTCCTGCCTGGTGTGTCTGGCCTCCTACTGTAAGACTCACCTGGAACCTCATCTGACAGCTTCACGTCTGCAAAGACATCAGCTGATCGACCCTGTGGAGAACCTGGAAGGCAGGATGTGTACGAAGCACGATAAACTGCTGGAGCTGTACTGTAAGACCGACCAGATGTGTGTCTGCATGCTCTGCACCTATTCAGACCACAAGACACACAATGTTGTTCCCTTGAAAAATGAATATGAAGTAATAAAGGTCAAGCTGGGGAAGACAGAGGCTGAAATTCAGCAGATGATCCAGAAGAGGCAACTGAAGATTCAGGAGATCAAACACTCAGTGGAGCTCAGTAAGGAAGGTGCAGACAGAGAGATAGCAGATGGTGTTCAGGTCTTCACCGCTCTGAAGGAGTCTGTTGAGAGAAGCCAGGCTGAGCTCATCGACACGATCAAAGAGAAGCAGAGAAAGACAGAGAAACAGGCTGAAGACTTCATCAAAGAGCTGGAACAGGAAATCTCTGAGCTGAAGAAGAGAAGCTCTGAGGTGGAGCAGCTCTCACAGTCTGAAGACCACCTCCACCTCCTTCTAAGCTTGGTGTCCCCGAACGCTGCTCCACCCACCAAGAACTGGACAGAAGTCGGCGTCCGTCCACCTTCATATGAGGGGACTGTGGTGAGAGCTGTGAATCAGCTGGAGGAGACGCTCAGTAAACAGATGAAGAAGCTGTTTGAGGTCGAGCTGAAGAGGGTCCAGCAGTATGCAGTGGATGTGACACTTGATCCTCATACAGCACATCCCAACCTCATCTTGTCTGATGATGGGAAACAAGTTAAACATGGTGATGTAAAGAAGAATCTCCCAGACAACCGAGAGAGATTTAATTATTGTGTCCGTCTCTTAGCAAAGCAGAGTTTCTCTTCAGGAAGATTTTATTACGAGGTTCAGGTTAAAGGGAAGACTGACTGGATTTTAGGAGTGGCCAGAGAGTCGATCAACAGGAAGGGAATGATTGCAACAAGTCCTCAGAATGGTTACTGGACGATATGGTTGAAGAGTAAAACTGAGTATGAAGCTCTTGCTGGCCCTCCAGTCCGTCTCTCTGTGAAGTCTGAGCCTGAGAAGGTGGGGGTGTTTGTGGATTATGAGGAGGGTCTGGTCTCCTTTTATGACGTTGATGCTGCAGCTCTTATCTACTCCTTTACTGGCTGCTCCTTCACTGAGAAACTCTACCCACAAATTGGTCCCGGTTCTCATAATGGTAGTAAAAACTCTGCCCCACTGATCATCTGTCCTGTCAATCACACTGAGTAAAACAACCATTTGATTTTATACAGAAAGATTCACATAATTTAATAGAATAAATGTATATAATAATAATAATAATACATTCAATTTATAGAGCGCTTTTCAAGAAACTCAAAGACACTTCACATAAGTTAAAAACGAAAATAAAGGTAATAAAAAGCAACACACTAAGATACAGATAAGATATAAGATATAGAATATTTAACAGTGATACAACATTCAGTTTGGGTTATTTTTTCCAGATTCTTTTCAATGTAAATGTAAAAGTTATTATTATAACACACCAATTTTACACACTCTCATCATTTTATGTAATAGACTTGGTGGTGTACGTGTATACAGCATTGTTTTGAGAAAAAGAACAACTTTCTTGTATGCACATTGTTAAGATGATATTATACTTGTACCCAGGGATGACTGGTATGTATGGGCCAACAGGGCTAAGCCCCCCCTATCTTTTACAGTAAAGATGAAAAGCTAAGAAAACCTTAGAACATATTGTTTGGAATTTTGGTAGAACCTAGAGCAGCAACAGCACCAAACAGTGACAGAAAAAACCCAGGATATATGATCTATCTTGGGTTTTTCCTGTGAATGGGCAAAATTTATTCAGCCCAAGCACAGTAGCGTAAGCTTCCATTAACTTTTGATTGACAGGTGTCCTGACACGCCCCCTTCATATGCTGCCCATTTGGGCTAAATTAATTCAGCCCAAAGGCTGACCTTTGACCAATCACAGCGCAGTAGCTACAGTACAGTGACCTTTGACCAATCACAGCGCAGTAGCTACAGTACAGTGACCTTCGACCAATCACAGCGCAGTAGCTACAGAACAGTGACCTTCGACCAATCCCAGCGCAGTAGCTACAGTACAGTGAGGCTAGTTCGTAGTATGGCGAACATGAACGAGGTGGATTATTTACTTTCTAATCAATTTTCTTTAAAGTTATTGGAGGAAAAATTGGAAGTACAGAGATTGGGAACACATCATCCAAATGATGTACAAATAGCACAAAGGACAAACGACAAAATCGTAATTTTTTGTTAAGTGGTTTCAGTGAACAGACTGGCTAACAGCAAGTGTAGGTAGGAATTCACTTTTCTGTTTCCCATGTTTGCTGTTTGGAGGAGACTCGGTTTGGACCCAACAAGGAATTGTGGATTTAAAATATTTATCTGACAAAATTAGGAAACATGAAAGCAGCACGAGCCACAATGGAAATAGCGTAAAGCTGTGATTGCTGGGTAAAGTGAACATCGCCTGTCAGCTTAATGAGGGTCACCGCATCCTGTACAGAGACACAACGAGAACATTTTGAGAAAGCCAGGCACTTGTTGTCTTTGCATGTGACCATTACCCAATGATCTGCAGGGAGAAACTGAAAGGTGAGCTGATGGTGAGGTACAGCAGGGTGGAGTCTGACATGGTGATTAACCTGTTAACCTGTCGGCGTTTTAAATAAGGTATGCCCAATCTCTGAAACAGCTCTCTCTTATACAAATGAAATTAATTCATTATCATTTTGGTTTTATAGATTTATTTTTGGTACATGGTGTTACAAATTGTTGCTGGTACTTTTCTATAATGTTGTTGTAGCGCAATTGGCATGTGCTGATGTGTACAGAGAAGAGAGAGAGAGAGAGAGAGAGAGATTTTTTGGCATCAGGTCGTTCTTTTGGGTTTGTCTCTCCAGTGTTGCCGTAGAGCACTTGCTATAACAAAGTATACAATGTTGTTGCTGTAACTTCATGTGATGCTATACTGTTGCTGCTGTGTTAGCCCACCCACCCAAAATCTCCACCAGCTGTCACTGCTTGTACCTATATACCTATATATGTTTGTCCTGTGCAATTATATTTATTTCTATACTGTGCAACTGCCTTCTGCTGTGACCTGTGCAATGTTCCATCAATCCCATCTGTGTCAGAAAGTGTATATACTGTATATTATAACTCTCTTTCTTTTTTATTTCCATGGTATCTTATAATTCTCTATTTTATTTTTATTTAATCTATATTTTCTTATCTATTGTGTTGTGTTGTATCTGGAGCTGCTGTAACTAGATAATTCCCCCAGTGTGGAATCAATAAAGTCTATCTTATCTAATCTGACTTTAGTGTAATTTATTCTAATTACTGTCATTTTATCAATGCGATAAAAGTCATTTGCTTTTCTCTCTCTTTTCTTTTAGATTTTTTTAGTAACTAAAAGCAAAATAAGGGTTTCATTATGTAAAAAACAGCAGATTTTTTTCCTGATGACCACCGAATCATGTGATTAAAATCACCATTAGGTGATCTTAGTGTTAAATCCTGACTGATCCTGTCACTGTGTCAGGAGATTTATTTTCAGACATTAATCCAACCTGTTACAGACTCTGCCTTCATCACATTAAAAGTTGCTTTTTAATGGACATTTCAATGTACATGTAGTGAAAGTAAAACATTTAACAATGATGAACATTATAGAGCAAACAGGAGAAAATGTCTCTCAGTGGTACTGATAATACCTAAATAGTAAATATTATAGTATTTATGAAGTATTTTAATCACTCATTATTAACCAATTTCACTATACGTGAGTCTGTTTCCTATCCAGATAACCTGAAATGACATATGTCTACAAATATAAAATATTACCAATATCAATATATACCCAATCATAAATTAGAACTATTTTATTTCAGTGCAGCAGACAGAATATTTTTTCCTCCAGATGGTTAGAAGAGTCTTTGAGGATTGTGTACATTCAGAACAGTGGTGAGTGTTGTTAAAGGACTTTTAGGGGGTTTTAAAATCACATTTGTTGTAAAATCAGATATTTAGCTCTGTGCCTTGAATGTAATGGTAATACATTAGTAATGGTAATACATGAGAGGCACAAACTGGGGCCGACATTAAACCATCAACTAAACACAGCAATAAACACACAGTATAATGTTGACTAATGATCACAGAGTTCAGAATCTGTCCATTTAAACAACACTGGGACTAAATAATGGCAGGAAACTGTCAGTGATGAAGCTAATGAGTGATACAAACTGGCTATAATACAAACAGGAGATATTTTTCACCAGTAAAACCTTTCCACTGTTTTCATGAACACACACAAATAAACTGTCCATTACCCATCCACTGCTCTCCTGTTGCTGCAGTGACTGACTGAGAAAGCGCACACTGTTTCTGTGCAACTTACATTTTAGTGCACTAGGTGTCACTGCCGGCCTTTCCAACACATATAGCTGATCAATAACTAATATCTGACCCACTCAGCTCTGACTCTCTGACAGTCTGACAGGATTTTCACATGTTTGAACACACATGTTAGTAAAAAGAAAAGAGTTAACTAATTAAAACTATTCAAATCTTAAGTTCTGACCTGGAAAAATCCTCCAACAATGAAAACTGAATCAGACAGCTACAGACAGGAGTTTAATATTTAATATTGCAGCATTTGCATTGAAAGGACTTGATCTCAGCTACAATACGTTCAGTAAATCTATCAAACAACAGACACTGACACAGATTTACATTAACACACTCCAATAAATTCATATGGAAAATCAAATGTTGAACTCACCTCACCATAACACTGTTGTATTTATTATTGAACTGATTATTTGACTGTACATTTACAGTAAATTATTGGTAACTAGGTACATTACTTTCACAGTAAATTACTGAATCATTTTTACAGTAAATCATTATGAAGTGACAGCTGCATACTGTGACCTTGGGGTAGTTATTCCAGGATATTAATGTAATTGAGCAATATGCTCCTGTTGAATTACTGCACAGAGCTGTAACTTTACAGTTAATGGCCACCATATTACTGTAATTTAGCAGTAGGCTGTTGGAGTATTACAGCATTAACTGTAAAAGTATTGCAACTCAGTAGTCTGTAGTTTGTTGTGAATTTACAGGATTGTAAAATAATGTAAATTTGTCATTTTTACTGCATTTTCTGATGCAGACATCAATATCTGGCCAATTTTAAATATTTGTTTTGCAGTTTATTATAAACCTTGCTGGACATTTCAACTACTGCATAGATGTTTCTGTCAGTTTCTTTTTCTTCTTCATTATTTTTTTATTTTTTATTATTATATTACAATGCATTATCATTATTATAATACATTATTATTAATAATAATGTTATTATTTTTATTATTATTGTAACTACTTGAATATGCATTGTGTATATACTTTCATTTATAGTATTATATTTTCAATTATATTTTGTAATATTTTATTTTGTGATTTTATTTTGTGATATCTTGTTGTACCCCCAATTCTGTTCTTTCTTTTGCACTACATTCCCCTATGCTGATGGGCAATCTTGAATTTCTCCTAAGGGGGATCAATAAAGGAACATCGTATATTATGTAATCTTATCTTAATTGAAACAGAAACTTTGTTATAGTGAATTAGTGAGTGCATTTTCTCACATAATCTAAAGAAAGTCTGAAGCTCTGACTGCTCAAATATGCACAGTAAAACTAACAAACAAAAGACACTAACACAGATTTACATTAACCCACTCATACCAGCCCTCTGATGGAGTTTATACCAAACTGCAGCCTGACGCATGCTCTTCAGAAATAACTGTATCATCAGACTGTTAAATAAACTAAATCTCAGGGACTTAAAAATGTTTGTACTTTGAGATTGACTGTTGATTTGTCAAGTGCAGTGGAAAGTTATGAAGGCCTACTACTCTCTCTGAGTGAGGAACTTTTTCTAAAATGAACAATTGGAATTTCACTTAAGAGTTCTGTGAAAGAAATATTTTACTTTACTACTTTTGAAACCTCAAAATCACAGAGAAGCCTACTTGTGGCCCAGTGACAAAAGTTTTCCCTCTCAGTGGGCCTGCATCAGTCAATACCAGCTCACTCACAGATCTGCACTGAGAGGAGGAGCAACACTGAAAGAGCTTCAGTGACACATTTCCTGTAAATAAAAGTGAAAGTTTGACTGAAGACAGCAGAGCTGCAGTGGAGACAAGTCTCTCTGTTTGTCTCTGAAGACAAATTCAACTGAATCCATCAGGTTTTTCTCAACTAAACAGCAGAATCTCTGCCAACCTCTGGTGAGTCCACTGCCCTACAGAGCTTGTTACAGTCTGTTATAGCACATACAGATAGAAGGAAGGAGCTAAATCCAACCAAACAATGAAAACACACCACAGAAACTAGTCCTGCTGAAAGCTAACTAGCCTAGCTTAGCTTCCCTTTGGGTTGTGTAAAGGACAGAGTACAGCGTCTGATTTCATCTGAGAGTTTGTTGTATTGCTTATAAAGGTATAAAAGAGAGAGAGAGGGAGAGAGAGACAGAGAGAGAGAGAGAAACAGAGAGACAGGGAGAAAGAGAGCGACAGAGAGAGAGCGAGAGAGAGAGAGAGAGAGAGACAGGGAGAAAGAGAGCAACAGAGAGAGAGAGAGAGAGAGAGAGAAACAGAGAGAAACAGAGAGAGAGAGAGAGAGAGAGAGAGAGAGACAGACAGATGAATAGAAATAACATGTTATTAGGGACCGAGCCAGTATCCACTGGGAGGTCCCTATTGTATTTGCTAAAGTTCTCATTATTTTTAGCCCCGTTCACTGCATTTTTGAACATAAATGAAACGAAAGCTCAGTTTTATCTGGCAAAGTTGTCAGGCCTGGTGAAAGATTTGATGCGTCACTTTTGGGTAAGCCACTAAGTGGCGCTACTATAAGAAGAGTGCGTTTAGGCTAATAACTCCCGCATTGTTTGTTGCACATTCAAAAATCTTGAATATATCCACGCGTTCAGTGAATGGAGCTGCATCTCCCCATATAGGCCACGCCCATTTTCGCATATTCTTTTTTCCGCTACAGCGCGAAATATCCATGAACAACGTTCCACTACCATCTTGAAGTTTTTTTATGGAATTCGATTCGAAACTTGGTATGATGATTGCCCATGGCTCCCTGAGGCTCCCTAACAAATGTGGAAAAAACACACCACTGGGTGGCGCTCTGGTGGCATGGTAAATCACTGTGCAGAGACCGTTATAGTTATGAATATGAATTCACAGGGCACGTGTAGACTGGTGCCTGTGTCCCCCCTAACCAAAAATCGTGTGTGTTTTATTTGAACAAACTCCTCCTTGGTAATATATCAGATCAATTTCAAAATTGGTCAGTACAATCAAAACAAACTGTAGATAAAAAGTTGTGCTATTTGTGACTGTGCATCAAACGGCATGCTCATGGTGTGGCATCCAATTTCAACGACATGCCATGAAAAAGGAAGTTAACTTCAGCGTTCAGGATCCAGTCTCAACGAAACTTCACGTTTGAAAGAAGTCCAACCCAGACCATGTCTATGTGATATTATTCAGATGTAGTGATAGCGCCACCTACTGGCAACAGGAAGTAAGCACTGCATGGCGATTTTGATCTGATTAACGTGAAATTTTCATGTGGTGGTCCTCACATGATACGACGGCACGTGACGAGGCCGGCACATCCGGAGTTGCGTGGCGTGTGAGGTCCTGCCCAATGCTGCTTGCAGGTTGCAGGACAAAAAGGTGCTATATAAATAAAGTTTTACTTACTTGCTTACTTACTTAGATTGTTGTCATTGTTTTACTGTCTTTGTTTTTTTTCACTGCATTTCAAATAACTAGTAAGGAGGTAATAGCAAAATGTCTTATAAGTAACTGGCAGCAGGCTGAAATAGCTCAAAAGATGAGTTTAAAGGTCCATTGTGTAAAATTTAGGAGGATGGACAAACTAAACACGGGCTTTAGATAGGTCCTTTCACACAGTTTCGCAGCCACCGTAACCCTTTGTCAATCCCAGGTCATCAAATACAGTCGCTAGATGTGTTCACTTAGTTACAATATGTAACTTCACTGCTATCATCATCATCATCATCATCATCATCATCATCATCATCTTCATCCGCTTATCCGGTATCGGGTCGCGGGGGTAGCAAGTCCAGCAGAGGACCCCAAACTTCCCTGGCCAGTGGCCACACCGGCCAACTCTGACTGGGGGATCCCGAGGCGTATCCAGGCCAGTGTTGAGATATAATCTCTCCACCTGGTCCTCCCAGCTGGATGTGCCAGGAACACCT